CCTTTGACGACAACCAGATAAAAATCCTTTTCCATTTAAAGATACTTTTCAAGCTCGGTTAACGAAAACGAGTAGATTGTGCATTTTATGGAAATAAAACTGGAGTAACAGCCGAATCAAATCGAATCATAGCAAAGTCTACTCCATTTAAGATTAGCCCAGACCGAAAGGTATTCGATACTGCCAGATAGAGCACTCGCACGTCTGTAGGTGCCCACCTTAAAAACCAACCAGCATCTTTAAGCTAAAAGCCAGTCTTAAGCTGAAGCTTTTGATTAGTGTTCGTTTACTTATATTTACAGCTGTTATTGTTATTGTAAATATTTACTTATATTCGTATTTTTTATTTCTCTAGATATTAACACCTACCGCACTTTGCTCCACAACGCGCCCCGCGCACTGTAGCATCAGCACCGCTAATAACACTGATTTCGTTGCATACTTTACGGCTACCGTAATAGCGACAGCACAGCAGCTCAACTTAACGAGCAACGTGTGGGCACCAATTGAGGCTTATATGTGCGTTACTCCAGCTGATTTCAATAATACCAACGATTTTTCGAACACCGTCAACGTCACGTGCCAATTCGCGTCAGAATTACAAACGGATTGCATATACGGCAATCCCACCTTCTGGCTGTTTGTGGTCTTCATGTGCCTGGGCACCATTGGTTTCAATGTTGTCAACTCGATCTCGGATGCGATCTGCTTCGATATGCTTGGCGAATCGGAGGAGGGTAAATATGGCGCACAACGTGTTTGGGGCACAATCGGTTTTGGTGCTACTGCGCTATTGGCCGGTATTGCGGTGAACCTTTGGACCGCAGATGCGCTAAAAAGTTTCACACCCGCACTGATTGTGATGATGATCTTCAGCGGTTTCGATTTGCTGAGCGTTTCAAAGTTAAAACTACCGAAACTCTCGTCGTCGGAGTCCATTTTCAAGGATGTCTGGAAATTGGTTAGCCATCCGGCTATTGCTGTATTTCTAGTATTCGCTACCATTGCCGGCATAATCGATTCATTCATCATTTACTTCATGTTCTGGCATCTCGAAGAGGTGGCGGCCGAAACGGGCTTTATGTCGCAGATTAAGTTAATTGAAGGCTGTGTTGTTGCCGCTGAGTGCCTTGCTGGCGAAGTGCCATTCTTTTTCTACAGCGGCAAAATTATCAAAAAACTCGGCTACGTACATTGTATGACCATGTGCTTCTTCTTCTACGCCATGCGTCTCGCGCTAATCGCTTGGATACCAAACCCTTGGTACTTGGTTGGTGTGGAATTGTTCTTCCAGGGCAGCACCTATGCTTTGTGTTACACGTGTATTGTAGCCTATGCGTCAGCGGTAGCGCCACCGGGCACTTCCGCCACCGTACAGGGTCTAATGGCTGGCATGGATGACGGTTTGGGCTTCTCCGTTGGTTCGCTGGTGGGCGGTCTGATCTTCAAGCACGTCGGTGGTCGTCGTAGCTTCTTCTACTTCGCAATATTTGCATTTACGGCATGTGTGCTCCATATGTTGGTGCGGCCGCGTTCACGTAAGCGTCAATATCTGCCAAAGAGTGGCTATCAAGTGCCCAACGAGCAGGTGACACTCGGTACTTTGGCTACAGAGGGCCAACTTAAGGCGTGATCAAGCATAAGACTGTGGAATTACATTACATTAGATTTGTTATTTGTGACGTTGGAATATTTAGTTTATAAATATTTGTATTATAATTACAATTTTAGCTACAGACGGACAGAGTAATGAAATAGAGTTTTTTATTTGTACATTTATACATAAATACGTAAATATGTAAGATTATATCAATAAGATTTCATATTCATGTCGATTTTATTAAAGAAATATTTTTATAACCGAAACTGGTCTCTTTTTTAATATTTGAAAAACTTTGATAGAGGTTAGATTATTTCACAAAACAATTTTGAACAGATTTCTTGAAAAGGGACGCACATTAACGTATTACTACTGGATCAAATTTGACCGAATAGGTTCATTTTAATTGCATATGCAAACGGAATCGATAGAAATCCTTAAAATACGAGGAAATTGTGCATTTTTTCGCCAGTCTGGGTCAAATTTTATTGGAGAATTGAGTCAGGTGTAGAAGTTCATGCAACTGAGGAAAGTTCACTGATTGCCATTCACTTGGGAGTGGCCAAAAACGATTCTTACATTTGCCTCAAGCAGCTCACGACTTCTGGTCTTAGATCGAGGATCCTTTGGGTAGCCAAAGAACATCTGTTTGAAGGGGAGCTAAAGAGATAAGCGAACCCTCTTTATCCAGGGTTGTGGGATCCGCCACGTAAAAGATACCCCCCAATGAAAACAAGGAAACAGCATCGGAAGAGAAACCCTCTTTTGATGACGACCATTAAATATAACGATTTAAGGGTATGTATATGGAAGGTTCGGTTCCTTAATTAGGAAGGTGCCCAGCTGATTGATGTCTTCGTAAAAATAATGGTTGATATCACCGCCGTCGAAGAGGTGCGATAGATGGGACAAGGACTGAGATGATTATTTCCTTGTGGCATTTACTATAGAGGTCATTTAAAGGAGCGCAAATTCGGCGGAGAGAGACTCCGCCGCCGAGTTCTGGCATTCACCCCGGTGGATGAACGTCTAGCCCAAATCCAAATCAAAGTGAAGTGTTTCAAAATATCGCTTATTTGGCTGTCTGGCTGTCTCCGGATCGAAAAGCCACCAACCAGATCGATCATGACCACGTGCGGGATGAGATAGATACCGACAGTTGAAGAAGAAATCGCTATGCGTCTCGAGAAAAAAGAGATGTTTGAGTACGCAGAGCTTGACAAACTCGCCGACAGTGGTAATCCTTGAAAATTCAAAAAAAGATGCGGCGACAACTAAAGGTTTCAAGACCGGAGCATACTGTTGTAGAACCCCCAGAGATGATCTAGTACAGAGGCATGGACGATGACAACATATGATACGTTATACGTTTTCGAGAAAAAGGTTCTGCGGAAACGTTATGGCTCGAATTAAGAGACAGCGGCTACGCCTGGCTGGGTCATGTCATCCGTATGGATGAAAACGGTTCAGCACTGAAAGTAGTCGACGCAGTATTCGCCGGGGGAAGCACAGAAAGAGGACGACCACTACTGCGTTGGAAAGACCAGGTAGAGAAAAACCTGCCAACACTTGAACTTCACTAATTGGTGCCAAATAGTGAAAAGGAACGATGTTTGGCGCGTTGTTGTTAACTCGGCTATAACCGCGTAGCCTATGCCTATGCCAGTAAAGAAGAAGAGGATCATGTATTCCTAATACAGCGATGTCTGATCGTCTTATTTTGAATAATGAGACACTTTTAACCCATTTTATATATTTATAAAAAAAAAAAAAAAATTTCATAAAATCTTTTTATCATCATGAATTTATTTTCAACAAAAACCATTCAGCTCACCTCAATAACAGTCATCGATGCTCGGTACATTCGCCCCTCTGCCACAATTATTATTCCACGTATTCCAAGCTGCGAAACCCTGCGTACTTATAATTTGTCGTGCACACGTCACAGCTGCCGCTATATCGTCCGTATAGAGCGATTGGCAGGACACTTGACAAGTATTTGCACTGGGTCGGCCGTCACCTGGATTGCACCAATAACGATCGTTTATATGGAATATACCCCAATCGCGCGAACCATCCGGATTTGGTGGTCCCAACTCGGCGGTGTTGTAATTACTTTCGTATTGTGCGATGCACACCCAATTGGGTATATTGGCACGTGGTATACCCAAACCGGCCAGTTCGCGTGTCAGTGAACATTTATCGAGTATGCGTGGCTCTACGCCGCCGAGCGCGATTGCCAGCAAAAGTGAGGCAAGCTGAATTTTCATGGCGAAAGGCCGGTTTTTGTTGGGAAAATGATTTTTTACACAGTTGGGTTGGCGATATTTATATTAGTTTTAGGGATATGCGCTTATAAAAGAAAAAGGCTTAAGTCGAGTTGTTAAAATATGAGAATAATGAGTTCGGAGTAGGTAAATTGGCGCGTTCAATGAAAGGTTTTTGTATATTATATTTTGTTTTGGGTGTTAGCTTTCATTAATATTATATATGGCACACAAAGGTTTTTAAAATAATTTCACTGTTTTTGTTTTACTAAAAACAAGATTTTTACTCGTTTTAAGTTATGCACTTTCAGCTTGTAAACACTAAAATTTTCGTTATGAGTAAATGTAGGTCATTTCGTTAAAGGCGCCGCCTATTCTTACACAGCTTTTTCAATGCATTGTTAAATAATAAAAGTTTTGAAACAATCGCTATAGATCATTTTCGAAAAAATACTGAAATATAATAAATATATATAATATTTCTTTGTTAAAAAGTTTTTTCATTGAATGTCTCTGAGCGATGTGAATACCTTCCAGCGGAATGCTATTCATATTATTGTTATTACAATTCACAAACAATTTCATGTATGTCTTAACCTCTTTAAAATTCTCTATAAATATGCCAACGAATTCTATTTTTAACACGATTTATTTATTTAACACCTCGCAAACCATGAAGTTCCAACTTTCTTGCTTGATTTTGCTCTACACTTTCTCCGGTATCGTTGCCAGGATATTCGACCGCTGTTCTCTGGCTCGTGAGCTGTCACGTTTGGGTACGCCGCGTGGCGATATACCCGCTTGGGTGTGTATTGCACAGTATGAGAGTACATATAATACGGCGGCCATTGGTCCACCAAATTCGGATGGTTCGCGTGATTGGGGTCTCTTTCAAATCAACGATCGCTTCTGGTGTGATCCACAAGATGGACGACGCACGTCGAATGTTTGTGGCACACCATGTCGTTCGTTGACTACCGATGATATTGGTACATCGCTGCGTTGTGCGCGTCAAATACAAGGTGCACAAGGTTTTGGCGCTTGGACCGTGTGGGGTAGACAGTGTCGTAGCGGTTGGGCCTTACCGAATATTAATGATTGTTTGTAATTGTGGAAATTTAATGCATTTGGGTTTATCAAGAGAATATTGTAAATTTGAAATCAATTTGAGAAAAAATAAATGTTGGGTTTCGTAAATTGGTCAACACTGCTTTTAATCCGGGAACGTAGAATCAAATAAAGTTGAGTAGTTAGGTTTGGTAGGTTCCTGGTTCTCGAGGTCCTTATGACTAATCTTTTACCTTGTATAACAGTTAATATGGAGAATGCCAACGTGTAGACAGTCATTGAATGGACAAAAAACTGGTACTACTTCGGGTATATGGAATCGAGCGACGTTGATTACCCAGGTTTGGCTGGCTGTCGGTCCACATTGTTAACGTTTTAGCTTCAATACCACTTCATATGTGTGGTATCTTAGCAAAATTCATTTCAATTAGAATCGATCGAAAGGTGTACTCTCTTAAATGAGTTTTCAACTAAAAATTCGAATTGATCCATGCTCCGTATCACAATTGCCTCAGCAGTTTCTGAGACTTTCATTTTTTAATTAAGTTCCATAAAAAATATCATAGATTAATAGACACTCGCTAACTTGCTGCCGCCAGCGCGCTCGATCTTACATTCTGAAGAGTTAAGATTTCGCCCACGTGCCGCAGTGTTGAAAGCTTTGTAATTTTGCGGCGTCACGTGTTCTACTTCCATCTGGCAAATGTTATGTGAATTAAGCAATTCATTTTTGATAAAAACTGACACTTGAACGCTTCAAAGCTCTTGAAAAATCATTAAGCGATAAGATTGTGTCGAACTGCTGTCCAGTACAATGACCGTTCGGCGCTAAAGCTCACATATTAGTGGAAATTGAAAGTGTGCAGGTGCTGAGCGCCAACTTCAGTTTACCAATGTACTAGAAGTAGATCTGCAATTGAATTCACCACGATTTATACAAGTAGCAATTACTTTTGTTAATTGGTTCTTTATTTTGGATAATTTTTGTGTGTGCCCTGCAGGAAAAACATCAGTGTATAGTTCTACAAATTTTAATGCATAGAGGAAAAATGTTCAACCGGTAAGCTTATACGGCAGGTTATCGAAAAATTTCGGTGCTTTTGTATTTCACAGTTATCTAAGGGGTTTTAAACAAGAGAGCATTTCAAAAAATCGATTCTTCCACACATTTCAAAATATGTTTAAAAAATTGGAAGTTGATCCGACAAATAATTTTGGCGTATTTGTAATAATTTTTGAATCAAGTGTCAATTTCAGTTCGGAAAAATGAAGAGGAAGGGGCGTGGTTGAATTTTTAAGGGTTAGGTATAGTGGTCTCAATTTCCGACAAAACTGGAAGCCTTTTAAAATAAAGATATATGGAAATGTTGTAGATAATGAAAAGGTCTTTTGTCCAAGGGCTTTCCTCACATAACCTTAAAATGTGAAAAATTCAAATAAACAAGTTTTTGGTTTTCTTATTTTTATTTTGTACAATTTTTTTTGCATTTATGAAATTTGGTCGAAGCTAACCGTCTTATGTTCCAAAAATACTGTTTTTTAACTGAAAATATTTATATTTTCGTTATAAAAAGCTTTACCGTTAGGAACAAAAGTTTTTGCAATAGCAGAAATTAAAAAAATTCCTACAAGGCGACCTTAGAAATTTAAATATTTCCAAGATGGCGCGTGGACGCAGACACTAAATTTATTTGAGGTTTTTTTTAAATTCGAATTCAAGTCATCTAAACATATTGCCAGCATATAAAAGTAAATGTTTGAAATATTCGAAACTCAGTTAAATTAAATTTTTGCGCAAGTGCAGATTATATGAAAGTTACTTTGTAAAAATGAAGCTACAAAACAAAGCATTTCCAGCATTAATCGCTTCAATTTTTATGCTAAGTTTTCTAAGTCCCGTTATACAAGGACGCATTTACAATAAATGTGCGTTGGCACGTCGTCTCTATCGCATGGGTATGCCTTTTCATGAGCTGGACGATTGGATGTGTTTGATCGAGGGTGAGAGCTCTTTCAATACGAAAGCCATAAATCCATCGAATGTGGATGGCTCCGTCGATTGGGGTCTGTTTCAAATCAACGATCGCTACTGGTGCAAGCCGGCCGATGGACGTCCATCCACCGATTCGTGCCGCATGCCTTGTCAACTACTACTGAGTGATAATATACGGTTTTCGGTCGCCTGTGCAAAGTATATACGACGCATACAGGGCTTCAGCGCCTGGGTCGCATGGAATAATCGCTGTCAAGGCTATAAGCCGAGTATGAAACATTGTTTTGTGCATAGTGGAAATGAAATGAAGTTGTAAGCGATTGTGAATATTTGAATTTAATGTTGTTTCATATTGTAATGAAAAAAAAAAAAAAAAAACAATGGGACTAAATATAAGATGAACATTACGGCTTTCATTTTATCAACTCAGACATCCTACATGAGACTAAGGAATAATAATATATTTTGCATAGTATATCCTTTAGTATTGATGTACATTAGTGGATTTGTTAGGTTATGATTACTGCTGGCGGCAGAAGAGATCTCTTGCTTAACCTCCACAAAGCCTTAGAAAAATTTGTCAAAAACCAAACCTCGATTATTATTTAGTCAGACTACCAATATAAGTTTTTCCAAACCATATTAACTCCTTCTTAATATAAAGCGACCTTTAGCAATAAAAATACCATTCCGGGTCAATTGCGTAGACCCAACTGACGTAGAAATGGTGTATCATGTGTACATACATACATATGTATAATCATTTTAATTATATTGGCTTTGAAATATATTCCCAGTTTTTATTGGAACTCTCGCTAATATCTTAGTGAGATTAAATCTCGTTTAAGCCCTTGATAATCCGATCAAATATTCAAATGAATAATAAGGAACTGAGGGCGAATTGGCCTTAATTCCGAACGAGGACTCCGACGACTGTCATGCCAATGGAATTTGAAATAAAATGTATCGAGCAAATGTACGAGCCTTATACCATATTCAGTCCGAAAATTTGAAGGGTTTAGATTACATTTAAGCCCTTCACCAATCAGCCCGTTCTCACTGCCGTTGGAAAGCTGAAAAAACAGCTGTTTTTGCCATTAAAGAATTCACATCGCTTAATATTTATCAAAAGTGAACATTGTCTTATAGTATTTTGAAGTAAAAACCGTTTTATTTTAAATATTTTCCATATAATGACAAAAATGGACGCATTTTTGTTAAATCGATGTTCAGGTGAAATTAGATCCATTGCTTTAAAAAAAATTTGATTGCTTAAATTTTTTTCTTTTTGTAGTGTCTAAATCAGCTGTAATAGATTTCCAATGCTGACAAGTAGATGGCGCAAAATTAGAGTCGCACCGAGAGATTTAGCGTGGATCAGTTCCAAATCACTTCGATGAAGTGACTTTGAAGTGGAATTTTTGTATGGCGAAATCTTGATAAATTTATAGGATTAGTAGCATAAACCACTCAACAGCCGAAATCGTGTGATTAAGTGTCGATCTGAATAGGGTATTAGAAAAATCTGTCATAAATAATTCTCTTTTGGCAGCCTGTGGGAAAAAATCACCAAGAGATGGCGTTCTACAGAGTAACAAGGCAAACAGCTGATATTTTGACATTTTGGAAAAGAGCAAAATTGTTTACGGAATAAACAAGGTTTGGCGGATAATATAAAACCATTTGGAGTGATAAAATGTAAGTTTAAACTCTATATATATAAAAGAAAGTCCTGTTGGTTACACTATTTGTAACTCAAGAACGGCTGACCCGATTTGGCTGAAAATTATTGGGGAGGTAGCTTAGAACCAGTGAACGATTATAGAAAATTTTGTCTCTTTTTGTTAAAATTCAAAACAACCCATTAATACAAAAATTATATTTCACATCATAAGCATTTGTTCAAAATTACTTACTATTATTATATGCCTACTTATATAAAGATGGCATCAGCATCGAGCAGTTCAGCACGTCACCTCTTCAGCGATAGTAAGAAACGTCTTTGTGATCGTGTTGGCGTTAATGTGAACAATTTGGGATCCGTAGCGCGGCAGATAGTGCGTGGCTCCAAGTCAAATGAGGTAAGCATGCAAACTATATTCAATTTTAAACAGAAAAAAATACTTTTTTTTATTTAACCAATTAGATTTTGGGCCAGAGCATAAAAAACTTCACACAAGTGGACATTGTATCCGATTATAGTAGTCAGAATTTGCATAAAATGCAACTTATATTACAACATGTTGATTATCAACATGAAGTCATGCTTGACAATGTAAATCATATGGATTACCTGAAGGAGCAAGTGACGGCAATGGAGAGATGATTAGAAGAGAGTGGCTGTAGAAATTAAACATGAGTTCGTGAAGCTTTCTACGCCAATTTCCATATAAGTTAGTTTACATATATTATTTGATTTGAATCTAACTTCGAAAAGTATGATTTAATTGTTGAAAAGTGCTTTTTGATCGCCTGAGTATGTTAACTGAATTAAGACGTCTTTGAAAAATTCGACAAGAGAGGAGAAATAATGGTTCGTGCATAAAAAAATTATTAGTGGAGCGTAGCAGAACAAAAATTATACGTTTGAGAATGGAAAGATGATGAGAATTTAGAAAGTGAATATTAAATAGTGTACTTTTCATAGGTATGTGTAGACATATGTGAAATTTCCAATATGTTACTTTGCTTATTAAATTTTAATTTTTTCAATTTTAAATTTAAGTTAGTGGTATGTAAAGATTGCACATGAGTCTAGCCTTAAGTCTTTCATATATAATAATTTTGTATACATAATGAACTATAAGTACACAAATGATAAGAAATGCGAAATTGAAATTTAATATATGTTTATAGTATGCTTATAATTTATTATAACTAGCAACTCTGTTATGCATTATAGAAAAAAGACACTGTTTTAATCACTTACTATAAATATATGTATATGAAATATTTTTAATAAATTCGTTGATAACACTAATTGAAAAACATGCCAGAACACTCTGAACTATAACGGCATGCCTCTTGATGTTTCCTATTGAACATCTACATGGTGAGACCTGTATGTTTACAGTTAAGGAGCCTAAAGAACACATCTCCAAGCAGTTTCTGCTAATGTATCCGTAGAAACGATCCCTGAAGTCTGAAGCGGAATCGCCTCCCAGGAGCATCAAGAAGTACTTCCCCAACTACGTCGACGAAATAAGACTATAACTGCTTGATATTGTTTTCCATTTATCTCAAATATAGGTTAGGTTACAATGTCGTCCATAAGAAGAATGTTACTTGGTTAGCTTAGAACGTCGGCCCGGTGTACCTATAAACTCATATATACTGAATCATAAGACCCTTACAGATCGACAAAGCGCTTTGAGCCTGTCACAAATTTATTGAGACGGCTAATATCAGTTTCCCGCCAGGGGAAGCAGAGGAAGAGGAAGACCTCCACTCCGTTGGAAGGACCAAGTGGAGAAGGACCTGGCTTCACTTGGAATATCTAATTGGCGCCACGTAGCGAAAAGAAGAAACGACTGGCGCGCTGTTGTTAACTCGGCTATAATCGCGTAAGCGGTGTCTACGCCAATCAAGAAGAAGAAGAAGAATATCAGTTTCGGCTATGTTTTTAGGTATGCCGAAGCTAAGGTTTCAGTAAATATAGCTGAAAAAACTGAAAATTTGAAAACTTCACGAATTTAACGTACCTGCCTCGTATCTTAGATTATGTTTGCCGAAGTACACCCACATAATTCTCTGTTGTAAAGATAGTAGCACCTGGTTGGAGGTCATTATCATGTAAACTAAGCAAGTTCATTGTACTAGATTTTTTATGCGGAGGTCGGACGTATTAGCTTGTATAGATAAGCCTAAACATCTTGAGCTCATCATAGCTGTAAATTATGTACACAGTTATTTTTGGTTAGAACCGGCGTATATATAAGAGATAGCACAATTAGCCGGCGTTTGAATTTTAAGAAGCATCCAAAATGAACGACCGTGCATACAAGTTCACAATCTTACTGCTGCTGAGCATTGTAATGCTCACCACGGCTGAACACAACATAGCAGCAGCAACAACGACCCAAGCTCCAAGGCGGTTAGAGAGTTACGTTGGACGCATTGTGGGCGGCAATGAGGCGCAAATATCACAGTTTCCCTATCAAGTGTCCATCCAGCAGGAAGGTGTCCATCGCTGCGGCGGCGCCATTTACAGCGCAACGCTTATAGTGAGCGCTGCACACTGCTTCGAGTTATGGGATATGCCGGAGTTGTTTGCCGTCCGCGCCGGTTCGTCGGAGCACGAGCGCGGTGGTGTATATTTGCCGGTGCGACGCATTTTCATACATCCGCAATTTCAGCTAGCTAACGGTATTAACGATGACATAGCGGTATTGGCGTTGACATATTCACTACCGTTTAGCGCAAATATTCAACCGATAGCGTTGGCCTCAAGCGCAGATATGGCAGTTGCACACCAAACGGTATTCTTTGTGAGCGGTTGGGGTACCGTTACGGAGGATTCGCGCTTGAGATCGCCACATTTACGCTTCGCGACTGTACAGCGATTCGAGCAGCACTCATGCACGGCCGTTTACAGTAACATCGTGCGTATAACCGAGGGTATGCTGTGTGCCGGTGCGCTGAGTGGTGGACGTGATAGCTGTAAGGGAGATTCCGGTGGACCTTTAGTGGGCTATTCGCGTGGACGATATATGTTGATGGGTGTAGTTTCGTTCGGCATCGGTTGTGGCAGACCGGGTATTCCCGGTATTTATACACGTGTTGCAGAGTACAAGGACTGGATCGAGTTGGCGGCGAAGCAGATTTAAATTGGTTGTAGTATAAGAGGGGTTAAAATTTCGAATAACTAAAATTTAAGAAGTATAGAATATTTTTGGAAGAGAGCTCAAGTTATGTTAGATGTTCTTATAGTTTTGATTAGATTCTAAAATAAGATCTTATAGTTGTGATTAAAAAATAAAGTGAGGTTATATTGCCAAAAACGATTTCCTAGTTTTAAAACCCGTCTTGTATGTTTTAGGTAGAATCTGAAGCTGAATCGTCGATACAAATAACAACTGTTGCTCTTGATAACTTTATACGAACCCTATTGTCAGTAACGTCGGGTACCGGTTTGGGGTCCAAATGTTTAAATTTGCGTTTCTGGTTATTGAAACCTCTCTAAAGTTCTATATAAAAGTGATGGCAACAGTGTCACCCTTATGCCTAAATATTAAATAGTGAGAAGACACTCTTAGCTTCCCAACCCTCCGGTAATGCATCGGCGGACAACAGTTAATATCTGCATTGACAGTCAAGCAACGCTGTAACCTCGGTTCGCATGTTTACTTCAGCTGGATGTTAGGTAACAAAGGCATCGATGGCAATCAGATAGTGGACGCGAATGCCTAGAGTGATGTATTGCTGTCATCCAATAATTATCTCATCGACCATCTGGCCAAGAGCATGGTAAGGAAGGTTAAAAATCTATGGAATAATCTATGGGGATCAAAAATACACTCTTCACGTAGTATACGTGATGAAGGAACATGATTGGAATACTTACTGATCACAGCAAGGCAACAGGGGAAACAATGGAGCCAGTGGTTCAATTGTCACGCACTAGAAAAGCAATGCTTAAAACAATGGGGTGTCCCAGTATATGAGACACTGGAAGTGGTATCGATAGTGAGGCTGCAGAACCTATTGAAACTCACTTTAAGCGCTGGCATCCTGAAGTGTAACTACTTCTCATAAAGTACGTAGCGGCAGAGTTACATAGTCGAATTTTGGATTTTCTGGCGATTTTCGGTGGTGTTCAGTTAACTTTTATTCTTTCATGATATAATAGTTCAAATTATTTCGCCGTTTGGTTTAATGGTCAGCTCATGGACCTGCACATGAGGTGGAGTCTGTAGACAATAGATCAAGGCATCAGCAATATCCTCCGGTTTGAGAAAGGGCATACTCGCTAGTGCCGCACGAGATTCACCAACGTGAATCTGCGTATCCACCAAGCCAGGGCTGATACTCTAAAATACATATGCATATAAATATTTGATATATGTAGTATACATACAAAGTACAGAACGCAATCAGCGCGTACTCAACTCACCGTTATTTTCACTTTCGTTTTCTGATCCAAGAATTCCTGTCGATAGACTTCGGTTAAGGCGGTGAGTGCGAATTTTGAAGCCGGATAAACATTAACTGTGGTATTTGGAAACATCGGCACCTTGTGACCACAGGTGCTATTAATCAAGAAGACATGCCCGTCATCGCCCTGCGTCTTCATCGAACGGAATGCCTCACGTGTGCATATAATCACGCCAAGAATATTGGTTTCGATTACATCACGTATATCTTGTAGATTTTTAGGCTGCAGTAGAGTCGTGCTGGTACGTGCAACACCCGCATTGTTGACCAAAACAGCAATAGGGCCATATGAACTCTCAATTTCTGCAAAGGCTCCCACAACTTGCTGTTCATCGGTGACATCACATTTAAGTGCATGTATGCGTTCCTTTGCTTCGTCTTCTACTTCATCGCGTAGTGATTCGATACCTTCTATGCATGGCGCCAAGCCCACAATCACCATACCGTTATTAGCGAGATATTTTGCAGCAACAGCGCCAATGCCGGAGCTGGCCCCGGTGACCACAGCAACACGATTCGACCAACGCTCCATTGTATTTGAATTGCTCGAAGGTATTTTTGCTCCAGCTTACCTATGAGCTGTTAGCGCTAACGAATCGGGAGAGCAAGAGTACACCATTTTTTTTGTAATTCTCAACGTGTAATGGGTATACACTGGTGATCACAAAAAAGTATACAGTTTTTATTCTCTTGCAACATGTTACCGCAGAGTATAATCGTTTTCTTCACCTAACGGTTGTTTTACTATATAGTGTGTATCAAATAAACCTAATCGAGATAGAAGCTGAAAAAATTTGGTTCCGAACTATCGGATCTTCTTGGAACTTAGCGTAAACCTTTGATTTAACATACCATCAGAGAAAAGAATCTAGAGACGTTAAATCACATGATCTTGGCAGTCATTCGACTGGGGCATTTCTCGAAGTGAAGGAGTCGTCAAACTTTGCACACAATATGTCCATGTTATGACGTGATTATGTAGAGATCGCTCGCTCGATTACATCAAATTCTGGAAAAAAAATCGGTCAATATCCTGTTATAACCCTCGTTATTGATGGAAACGGCATTTCGAAGGAAATAAGGCCGATGATGCCGACCACAATGTGCCTAAAATAGGATGCAGTTGCGTTTCCTGAACCTTGTTTTAACTTAATACCGTTTTTGTTTTGGACGAAGTCATTAAGCCGGAAATGGGCTTCAACTGAGGCAGAAAAAAAAGATTTTTTGAAATTCAAAAGTATGTTTAATACCTAAAGATCATAAGTTCATTTATGTTGACTGAGACTTCTTCCAATTTCCGGAAATTTATATCTCCTTGTAACGTTACCATTTATATGACGACCAGTGTAACAATTATAAAAGGGCGATTTATACATGTAACAGTATGTTTACCCAACAATTATTGTAAATAAGTTTTAAGATTAAGATTTATGTTGAGATTTTTAATGAAAACATTTAAAGGGTGACTACTAAACTAAGGCCTTGAAAATATCAGGCATTTTCAGTATCAATTGACAATGTGGAATGGACACAATAACCACCTTGATAGGGTTCGAGGACCATCTAAAACCTCTGCCGTACTTTGGGTCCGGCACCCAGTTGCAATACAACTCCACAATTAACTGACGAACTGTCAGCTCTTCCTGCATTTGGGTTTTAGCCACAACCGCCGCAATACTTCCCGAGGTATCAGTTCGCATGAGTTACATTGAAGTTTTACATAATTTCGTATATCTTGGAACCAATATTAACAGCAACAACAATGTCAACATCGAAATCCAGCGCAGAATAACTCTTGCCAACAATTGCTACTTCGAATTGAGTAGGCAATTGAGAAGAAAAGTCCTCTCTCGACGAACAGAAGCCAACTCTATAAGTCACTTATTATTCCCGTCCCGCTAAATGGTGCAGAGGCATGAACGCTGACAACATCTGAGGAGTTGACGTAACTAGTTTTCGAAAGAAAGGTTCTGCGCAAGATTTATGGTACTTTGCGCATTGGCCACGGCAAATACTGCATTCGATTGAATGATGCGCGGTATGAGATATACGACGACATTGACATAGCTAAACTGGCTTTGTCATGTCGTACGAAAGGATCAAAACATTGAAGCTCTGAGAGGGTTTGACGCAGTACTCGCTGCGGGATGCAGAGGAAAGTCCAGGTGGAGTGGCAACTGGCTTCGCTTCTAATCTCCAATTGGCGCCAAATAGGGAAAAGGAAGGATGACTGTGGCGGTGTTATAAACTCGGCTATAACCCCGTAGTGATATCTACGACAATAAAGAACAAGAAGAAGACTACCCCGTCTTCCTTTTAAGTTTTTGTTTAGAATAAAGTTTTCATGACTTTCGCCATTTGTTTCAGTGTAAGTCTTCACATAATCAAAGTAAACTGTACTAACGTGTCAAAAGCATATATTTTCGTTGACAGCTGGTTTGACAGCTTTGCCTCCTACAATTCATAATACCAAAAAAACACCCTTTATAAATTAATACTCATTTTGAGTATATAAAAAATGTTTTATATACATTTGATACTTTTTCTTATAGATATTTTTAATATTTAATTAGTTTGTATACAATTCCTCTAGCATTTCCAATGTGGGCAGCACTGTGGATAGGGTTTACTCAGATCCGCCGGTACGAAATTACAATTTTTGGGCGCATAAGCGTTGGGGCAGCTAAAATATATTGAATCACCATATAGTTCTGTACATAAAAAGCATAATTTTCAAAATCTCTTACGCTTTAACTTCGAAATCGTCATAGCTGGCGCCTTTACAGACGATTTGGCTGCATTTACCAGCCACCGCCTTAGTTTCACCTTTTTTCAATATCGAGCCATACACATCGCAATTCGCTGGTGGGAAATATCAAGTTTTTGTATAAATATTTATAATAGAAAAATGATAAGTCAATATTATAAAGAAGCGCAGGGAGTACTTATATCTGTACACTTATATAATAATTTACTAATTTATACTTTTAATTGTTTTTATGTGATATATTTGCTCACCATTCACACTTATCAGCAGTAAATATAGCGAAAGCACAAATAAACACGCTCGTAGTGTCGGCATTTTGTTTTATCTGCAGACTATAGACACACGTAACGCTCAGCTCGGAACATACGCCACTTTGATTTGAATTAAATATTTAGATTGCTTGCAAGTACTCTAAACGGCTTTGCACAACTGAACTACTGTACGGTTTGAACTGAACGGTTTGAATTAATATACATAGAGATTTACCTAAACGTTGCTCATCCGCAAAGAGCGATCTTGTTTTGTTTATTAAGTAGATTCGGGAAAAACCCCCATCACTTCTGCGAATATGCGCTAATTATGAGCAGTCTTACATGACTTATGAGCGCTTAAAGAAGCTTTTTTGTGATATATCTTTACATATGTAGGTATATACATTAAGGTGGTACTTGTGTCCAAGAATAAACATTCATCAAACAATTTGTTGCATAATAAATCTCTGAGTCTACTTATATTAGGGCAATTCTTAAAAGTACGGTTTTAAATTTCTTTAAATCTTTTATTTTTATAATAATAATAAAATGAATACGGTGGTCCTTACATATAGAAATGCAAATTTAGTATTTTTACTGTTTCCAATCAAGATTAGAACTTATACCATTCGTCTATTTTGGGCATTAGGAACAAAAACAAGTCAACTCTAGCTGCATCGAAGCCGAAGGGCGATCCATTTCGAGGTTTCTTACTCATACAGAAACTTCAAATTCGATGGGGAATGTTTATTATCATTCGAAAGAACATTCTTTGGCATTTATTTTTTAAAGATTATCTCTTTCAAAGAGTCAAATTTTGCATCACTCGTTCGAGCATTCGACTCGTAACTGGTGAATAGCATGCGTGATGTTTTATCCAAGTCTTGAATTGAAGCGAAATTGTCCACACAGACTCTAGACTTTATATATCTCCACAGGAAAAAAGTAAAACGGTATGATATCAAACGATCTTGGTGGTCAATCGACCACGATCATCATCGTGCTCAGCGAAGTGTTTTCTCAATAAATCCATTGATTAATGCGATAGGTGAGAAGTGTTTTTTGAATTGCTGGGTAAAAAATAAAGGTTTTCAATCTCTTCAGGTTATTCTTCGTCTGAAATGCGAAAATTTTGTTTGTTTACATACCCATTGGGCCAGAAATGGGCCTCATCGCTGAAGGAAATTTGGCTCGAAACCGTTGGTTCTTCTTGAAACTTTTCAAGAGCCCATAGATCGAAGTGTTCCAGCTTGAGATGGTCGAGCGGCTTCTGTTCTAGCATATAGTAAGCAGTATTTTGTACGCTTTCAATTTAAGATCTCGACGTAAAATGCGCCAATTCGTTCCATACGTCAATTCGAGTTGCTGCGAACGTGGTCTATTCGGTCGAATATTATCTAATAATGATTTTGATCAGGCAGTTTGTATTTCTATGTACTATAGACATTCGATCTGAAAACTTTCTTCAGAGATTACACCAATAATCCATGCTAAATTTCTTGAAGATATCTCATTTTGACCGATCAGTTCGTATGACAGCTACATATATCTTATAGTGGACCGTTATCGGCGGCTATGAAAACTAAGCAGCCGCTTAGTTATGTACAATCAAACATACTTTATTCAGGCTATAAAAATTGAATTTTTGAGTCTCAAAAGGCTTAAATAAATACATACGGACTCGTAATGGTATAACTTCCTTGACTTCTTTTACACTCTATTAATGTCATTTAAATAGTTGAGTAAAAAAAAATTCGCACTCGCTTTTCTGGATCCACTCTAATATATGTATATATATTATATATGCACAATTTAGCAAAACTGAACCGCATCTCTATCTATGCCGAAATTGATAACGTTTATGCCGCTTGGCAGAATTAAATATTATTTTAATTAATTAGAAACATAGATAATATGCATCTTCCTATATATTTAACGATTAAATGTAGTAGTGGTCATTAATTTAAATACATACATATATACAAATATATATAACAAATTATTGTGTTATTTACGAAACATAGCACATCGAGCCTTTTGAGTAATTTATCTCTGAAAATAACCGTTAAAAGTTAAGCACTTCGAGTAGGGACTTTAATGGACCTTATACTCAAGTGTGTTATATAACTTAAATTTCATACCCTGTACAATACCGGATATAGTATACCAGAGTTAGTCTAGAGCGGCTCAATAATTTCCAAAAACTTTACGCGATAGGTTTCTACTGAATCTGCGGCCAGTTCTGAAGGTAAAAGTTTCTAACGGGGTTTTTAATAGTGACACTACATAAGTAGAAAGATAGGCAAAGCAAACGACGCCATATTTTTCCCTCTCTTTTGACATTTCTCTATAGTAAGAGCTGCCATTTCATCGTTGAAAAATATATGATCCAACAACGAGTCGCAATTATTAAAATTTACTACCAAAATTCGGAGTCTGTGGCCTCAACTTTAAGAGCGCTATGTAAAATTTATGGTCGTCATAATCATTCTGTCAGATCTACAATTGAGCGTGTAGTGTAGTAAAAATTTGAATCCACAGGCACAGTACAAAATGTTTCCAAGTCTAAGAAACAAAGAAGTGCCCATAGGGTCGAGAATAATGCTGCCGTTAGCGCATCAATTGAGGAAGATCCAAATCAGTCTTTCACACGTCGTTCTCAAGTGTTGAGCAGCTCTCTGTGACGTCGTTGTGGCGAATTTTGCGAAAAGATCTCTTGGCGTACATCCTTAAAATATTAAATTGATGCAAGAACTGAAGCGGACGTACTACTTCCGTGATTATGAATAGGAATCGCAACCACTCAATGGTAACCGAATATTTTTGGTACGAATTCGATGATATGGATTGGGACAATATGTGTTTCCAACAGGACGACAAACCGAGCCACACAGCGAATGTCATAATGGATTTATTGAAAACCAAGTTTGGTGAAAATGTTATCGCACGAAATGGATCAGTCAATTGGACGCCTCGGTCGTGCGGAGTATTGGACTTTAGGTACGTCAAGTCTATGGTCTATGTCAACTAGTCAGCGACGGTTGATAAACTTCGTACCAATATCGAACGTGAAATTGCAGCTGGTTTCTTATCTATTAATAACGGTACGTATTGTAAAATTTGGCACAATACTCTTTAAGCTGGACTCTGGAGTGATTGGATGTTTCTTTCCCAAGCAGCGAAATATATTTGGAAGCAGAGAACCGGTTCGCTGTAGGCGTTTCGAGGAGCCAAATACGAAAAACTAAGCATGTCTCTTTAGATTTTCCGACTGAGCTAAAATATTTTTCTTCAAGTAATTGAATGTCACGAATGTTAAGATCATCTCCGATATAATTAAATAATTATTATTTTGTTGGAGTAACAAATGTAAGCCGTTAAAATATGATATTAACGACAATCGTAACGTGTGTGTGATTAAAAGCGTCAAATTCAGCGCACTGATCATCTTATGTGTTAAAGGTGAACAACCTGCTGACGCTAAGCCTAAACAGCACGTGGGTATTTAAGATTACTTTGCATTACCCTGACCTCAGTATTGAATTACACTTGTCTAAATATTATGGCTTCTTTAAAATGTTCACTAATATTACAAGTGTTACAAAATTTTGTTGCTAACACGAGAGATAAAATTACATACAAGAATTTCTTGTTTCTTAAAGAACACAAAAATCTTTGTAATTGCAGAAGAATTACAAATACTCTACAAATATACCAATTTACTTTGGTGTCACTAAAAGTGGTTGCAGCGATACAGTTTTCATTTCCAATTTTTTGTGCGTTCGTGCGAGACCAAGCCGATCAACCTATGTTATTAGAGTGAAGTGAGTGTAAGAGGAGATTTTAACTGGAAGAAACCTAGTTTTTCATAATATTCAGCTGACATAACGTATTTACTTTTGCATTTATTTCATATGATCATATCCAAGTCGTTCTGAATGATTGAATAATAAGCTCTTTGAGTATCTGAAACTGCAAGGGATATTTGAGAGAATGCTAGTTTAGGTTATGACAAGTCCAGGGATATTATTTATCTCTGGTAACTCATTTGAAGCATGAATTAGTAATAATAATTTGCTATAGATACTTATTGTTAGTTGGAACTACATTAAAACTTTAAACCCGTATATGCATATTTTCAGTCAGAAGAGCTTTGAAGACTTCAGTGTCATTAGAGCTTTCGTAAGCGCTTTAATGCTATAAGAGCTTTCGTGACTTTTAGTATTATTGACTAAAGAGCTTTCGTGACTTCCGAGATTTTATGCTTTGCGAGATGTACTGCCTTAAGAGCTTTACTGTTTTTGGTGACTTAATGCTGCTTTAAAAGCTTTTCTGCCCTCAGCGCTTTAATAGTTTATAACTTTTACGAAAATGCAAAAAATGGATTGGAGGAATGCAGCGTTTGCGCGGAGGATAATGAGACGCAGGAACATTATCTATGCAATTGCCCCGCACTCGGCTGGATTAGAAGGGATATATCAATCAGGGCTTACCAAATCTACAGACTCCGTAGGATAAGGTTTAGATTGGAAAAGAAAGGACTTTTGCCGAATCTACAGAGTTGCTGGATAAGGCTTAAATCGGTTACCTCCCTGGTATACAATGCGCCTAATGTTGGCCTAAGTGCCGTCGCCTGTGGTCCGGCGCCTATGCGCTTCCCTTTTCAACCAACCAATCATTCATAACTTTTGCTGCATTCGAAGCTTTAATATTTAATAATTGAAAACGTAAGTTCTTTAATTACTTTAAAAGTTACAGAGCTTAAAAATGCTATGTTGAGTACTTTTGTGCCATCAGTGCTTCAGTAATTTACAAATTTTACTGTCTTCGAAGCTGTAGTGTTCGGAAAGCTTTCGTGCTTATTAAGTTTTGATACTGCGTACTGTTTAAGGCTTAAGTTGTTTTATTGCCATACAAGATTTTGCTCAGTAAAACCTTCAGAGCTTAAAAGAACTTAAGAGCTTTAACGTTTTAAAAGCTATCGTGCTGAAATAGTTTTGATACTATAGATACTATATTATATTACTTTAAAAGCTATGACGCAGTAAAACCTTTAGAGTTTAAAATAATTTAAAGCTTTAATGCCTTCAAAGCTTCCTTGCTTAATAAGTATTAATATTATATGCTATTTAAAGCTTAAGTTGTTATATTACTGTAAAAGCTTTTGCGCAGTAAAACCTTTAGAGCTTAAAAAAATTAAGAGCTTTAAAAGCTTTCTTAATACAGGAAATTATGTGCTTTAGAAGTTTGAGTGATTTAGGAGCAGCAGTACAACTTT